ATTTTTTTTTTTAAAAAAAAAAGGGAAAACAATTTCTAAAAAAAAAAAAAAAACAAACCAAAAAAAAAAAAACCCAGAGTGATCCAAAAGCTTTTCCTAGCCCAGACTAGAAGTATATGTATGTATTATATTTTAAGATATAAATGTGGCTGGCAATGACAAAACTAAGATAACTGTTGCCTTAAGTTGTTGTGAAACTGCTTTATATATCAAATACAAATGAAAAGAAACTTGACTTTGTATCATAGCCGAAGCTGATGGCCTCTGTCTCTTCAAACAGTGTAAGTATATATCTGGTTACTTACAAAATGTAAAACTAAATAAGGAAGATTTCTGTGCCCCACACTTATTATCAGAAATATATCTGGCTTTTAAATAGGAAGATCTTAATCATTTCAGACTAGCTAAAGCTTTTTCAAAAGTCTCAAATATATAGTTTGTAATGAAAAGAAAGCATCAAGAATAACAAATACTCAAATACCTATGCAATACTGAAGGGTTTTTATTATTCAAGATGTGTGATAATTTTAGGTTTTCTCTTCCTACTCAGAGAACTGCAGCATGCAGAAAAAGGAGAAAATCAGAAATGATGAGCGTACTGCAAAGGCTTGTGAAGTTTCATTAACCTACAAAATAGACTTTGGTAAGAGTGAATGAATGAATGTTTGAGTGAGTTAAGAGTGAGTGAGCACCAGCTCAAGCTAAGCTAACAGTTTTCTCATTTTTTCCTCAGTGTATAAAGCAAGAGTGGAAAACTTTGTTAATTCTTGGTCCACTGACATTTATACTGTACAAATACTGGAAGTAATCAAGACAGGTAGGTGAATGAAGCTGATCTTTGTGTATTTCATTATATTTAGAATGTCCTTAAACATGTATTGTACGTATTTTCTTCTTCACATTGTGTTAGATTCAGGTCATTGTGGCCATGCAAAGGGCTTTCATACTCATAACAATAATACTTGTAAATTAGACTCTCGCTTTCTCTCTCTCTCTGCTATCCTAGCTCAAAACCATTAGCTTTTCTTCCTTGGGGCGTTCCTTCCTCATTACCATATGTAAAACAGGGGTGTGCCTCTAGTGGAGGGAGGAAGGTTTACAAGCGACTGTCTTGTATCTGGGGACAGGCCATTTTTACTGCTTGTTAGAAACAGTCTTTATCTGTACCCAGAGAGGAACCTTGCATCAATAAGACATATTTATTATCCTCCTTCTTACTGTAATATTAACAGTTTTAAAAAGAGCAATTTGGAGGCCATGTTGACAATAAAAGGTAACACTTTATTTGAAGGGGGTTGAATAAGACTGTCATGACTGTCATAAACATGACATAACACCTTCATGAATATTTATGACAACAGTCATAAATATTCATGAAGGCTTATTCATGTTCATGACAGGTGTTATGTCATGTTTATGAAAGTATCATGACAGTCTTATTCACCCCCCTTCAAATAAAGTGTTACCCAATAGAATGAATGAAAATCGATTTTTCTGCTAAAATTTTAGACTTGTATTTAAAATCTTAGTAAAACAAATAGGATTCAACTTTGAGAATCAATCATTGGAGTGATTGGAGAATAGATCTGTATTTTAGCAAGTTCCCATTCATTTCATGATTATACTTTTAACACCTATTGTCTTCTTGGGCAATCATTTTACCTGCAGGAACAGATGAGCAGGCAGAAGGGGAACTTCGTACGTTCATCGGCTATCGTCACTGCAGAGCAGCTCTCGATCTGACTCCAGGCCAAACCTACCTGATCATGGGCTCATCCAAAGACATTCGTATCGATTACAAAAACCGACAGTGAGTTTGTTCCCTATCTCTATGCACCTGTGCCATGCAAATTTAAATATCATTTGTTGATTTAATTCACCTGTCAAGAAAAGTTATTTTTGCTCAGTAGCGACAGAAAGAAAAAGGATGAAGACAGTGAAAACACTTATTGTTTTCCGATAATAACTGAGTCATAAGACTGGTATGTTCAGACCAAAAACATGTTTTTTAATTATTAGATGCATTTAATGCTGTTACAGTCAGCTCAGAAACAGAATATGATCATATATCTCTCGGAAAATTACCAGACAGGCAAGATTTGCACAGTAAGCTGTCTATGTTAACAAAACATCTTGCTTAAATGTTGTAATCCTGAAGCTCTGTTTTAGCACAATACAATATTATTTAGAAATCTGTCTCACTGCATTTGCTGAGTTACTGTAATAAGCCTTTCTTCTGATAATGGCTGTGTAATTTTGGCTTTGCTCTGCTCAGGTATCAGTATGCGTTTGATGAGAACACCTGGATTGAGTACTGGCCCAGTGCAGAAGAGTGCCAGGTGGAGAAATACCGCCCTACCTGCTTGGGCTTAGAAGAACTGGTTGATCAGCTCCAAGTCTTTGGATGTCAGATGAAATGATACAGTAAATATAATACTACTCTGATATGAAAATAAAACTGAGATAGCACACGGTTATCATATAATTTTGTGATATTTTCCCTTGTGAAATGTAAGAATGTTGATTTCAGCTGCTGCATTTCATATTAAATGCCATGTGAAGGAAGCTTCTTATTTTCTGGTTTTGTGTCAAACTGTTGATTTCCATGTCACTCTGTTGCCTTTTCCTTTACCCAGAATGAAAATGTGTTTTGAAATATTTGTCACAACTTGTCAAAACATGATTCTACGGTATTAAATTGAATATATTTGGTAACTGCTGCATATCAAATTAATCACAGAGTGTGCCTTGAAACTGTGATTGACTGTATTTACAAACAAACATTTCTGGCAACATTGATCATTGATGGGCAGAATAAACCATAGTAATTGTTTATAAGTAAATAAATGAAGACATCAGTTAATTATAAAAACAAGCTGCATTTTGAAACATGCTGTCTTCTGAAATTAAATGGCTTACATAATTTGTACGCATGCCTTGAAAGGAAATGAAAGACTTGGAATGTTGTTGAAATATCTGTTGCACTATTATGGCATAACTGGAATAAATGACCAACTAAAAGATGTGTTTCTGTCAAGATGATTGAAAAGTGTGAACCAGCTGCTGAGGTTTAGGGTTAGGTTTGTGAGCGGACTCAACAAATTAGCCAGACAGTCACAGTGACAAGGCCTCAACCTTTGTTGTGTTGCATCTTTGGTATTCACCTTAGAGTCATATGTTACAGTAAAACTGGTAGAACATTCAGTTGCATGACCTTCAAATATTTGTACAGCGGGTGCATGGGTGGGTGAATGTGTGTGAGTTTGTTTAGGTGAGTCTGTTTGAGTTGAGTGGGTGAATATGTGGCAATGTGTCTCCAGGGGCTTGTTTCAGCCAGCAGGATTAACAAACTGAGGAAAAAGTGTATACTCTAACCCTAGCCTGACACACAGGTTTATATACAATTAAAAGATAATTATTTAACAAATTTTATGATTATCCAATGTAAAAGTATTGCCAAATATGATGCAAAAAGTTTAAATACCGTGAGATGCCACAAATATAGCAATGTTTTCCTGTTATTGGAGCAAGGTGGACATTGGACCTGATAAATGTTTTTTTTTTATTCGTTCCTTTAATTATAGGTTTGTTGATGATGAGGTTCTTTAGCAGGAATTGACTGAGCAAAGACAGAATGTTTTCTAAGGGTAAATCAGCACATGAGTCTGAATCTAAATCATGTGGAAAATTAGGGGGGAAAGTGATTTTAAAAAAAAAGACAAGATGTAATGTCAAAAATATATTTTTATTGTTTTTAAGGAACTTTGAGACAAAAAATCTACATTAAAATCGGTAATGATTCAATGTCGCATGCTGTTTTTATTTCTATTTTTTAATTATGTAAAGTATCTTGAAATGCCTTGCTGCTGAAATGTGCTACACAAATAAAATTTGATTTTGATTTTTTTTTTAACAAGAGAGGGAGAAGACCTGGGGGGAAAATGTAAACAGACTGCAACTCAAACCTGTGTCTTAAAAATTTTGTTGGAATTAATCCAATTTTTTTCTCACACTAAGTTTCCAGCCACATCCTTCCTATTTCTGCATTGCTGGTAAATCTTAAGCACTAATGATATCCGCAAACACTGATGGATGACAGAGTTGCTTCTCTTGGCCCACTGGGGGTTGATTTTGGTTTCAATAAATGATTTGATGGCACTCCAGAAAGCACTACGGTTGTGTGCAAGCTGTGCAAAAAGGAGTTGGCCTATAAAAGGAGCTATTCAAGCCTAAAATACCAAATAAATGCTAAACATGTTGCAGCAACACAGATAAGTTTAAAATGGCTTCCACGCCACCAAACCTCGGTACACGTACGCTAATGTTAGCGACCGCATTTCACGTTCATCTACATGACTGATCAGGGTTTCCTGAAACACTTGACAGTTGAATTTCTATAGCAGCATTTTGCACCAATCTGATGGCAGAATAATCTATAGTAGAAATAAATTTCCTTGGTGTGCTCATCTGTCTATTTATTCAATAATTTTGCTGCAAAAATGGATTTTGAATTGAAACTGTTGCTTATTTTAACAATGTATAGTTTTC